AAGACTCTAAAACTAGACACCATCATGCTTTTAAACTGTAAAATAAATCAACAGCGATCAACAGAGAAAAATGTCTGATTTCGGGCTCTATTAGCAATCCGTAATTAATTATGCATATTTATCTAACCTGTACAAAAGACCATATTATTATTTATTCAAACTTCATATCTATGATGGGAAAGAGGGTGAGGGGTCCTTACTTGATTCGATGCCGAAAACTAAATGGTTACTGCGCCTGCGGGCGATCCCTAGGTTCCCTGAATTTTTCTTCGGGAACTTAAACATGCTTACGGTACCTACAAGTGTCCCAAATAAACCAAAAAAATTAGACCTAGGGCCCACTCGGCCAATTTCAAAATTTTGGCACAGCGGCGATCCACCTCTGGTTGGCTATTTTCAGCCGTTTTTGGTTGAATTTAGCCGAACTTGCACCGGTTCCTACGAGAAAACACACTTAGGGCCTCAGTGGGCTGAAAAATGTAGAAAACCAAAATTCACCGGCGGTGGGGCTCTTCGGTGCGGCGGTTCCTCTGGCTCACGTTGCGGTTGGGTGTTTTGCTTCGGTCAACCTGTAGAGAAGAAAACGGTGGTCACAACGGTGAAAAAATCACATCAAACGGGAATCAGAAAGGGCCTCATCGAAGGCATTTTTCGAAACACCCTGCGGCACCCCCGCCGAGCTTCGGTGGCATTTATCGGCCGGTTCTTTCACTCCAATTTGGCCATTGATGGGTTTAAAATTGAATTTCGTGTAAGAGGGAAAATTTTTACCTCATTTGGCGGTCGGCTCCCCAGCAGCTGGGCTGTCTTCTCCGGTGAAGGGCTCTAGCGGCTAGAGTTAGGATTTGGGTGCGAATTTGGTTATTTATACCCATCCACTTTTTATCTGGGCCGTCTATCACTTTTAATCTGGACCATCCGATCGCGATTAAATAGGAAGTGAATCTAGACCATTCATAGCGATTCAATCTGGGCCGTCCGTGCGCGATTCAATCTGGACCATCCGTGCGCGATGCAATCTGGATCATCCGTGCGCGCTTTTGATCTGGGCCGTCCGTGTGCGCGGGAACGAATCTCAATCGTCAGCACCTCTGCCACCTGGTGCCTCCTGGTTGGTCGGAGCTGCTAACCAGGCAGCTAACGTGGCGTAACTTTTTTAAATTGCGTTTTGACCCCTAGTTTCTGATTTTTTTTTCAAAAATACCCCCAGAACCCAAATTTTCACCCCTTTTCCCCAAAATTATTTTCAATTAAATCCCTAACTAATTTTTTTTTTACCCTTTTTATTATTATTCTCATTAAATCAAATTAAAATTAAATAAATTAAATTAAAATCATATAAATAATAATTACTTTTATATATAAAAAATTAATAATAATAATTAAAAAAAAAAAAGAAAGGTTGGGTGTTACAGCTCACTTTGAGATGACAGATATGGGATTAATGTCTTATTTTCCTGGTGTTGAGGTCAATCAAACATATAAAGACATATTCATTTCTCAAAAGAAATATGTAGGAGATATCTTGAAGAAATTTAATATGAAAGCTTGCAAACCAATATTAACACTAGTGGAAGAAAGGTTAAAGCTTATGAAAAATTGCAGTGGTGATTTAGTTGATGCAACAAATTTCAGGAGACTTATTGGAAACTTGAGGTACTTAACAGCAACTAGACCTAATATTGTTTATGGAATTGGTATTGTAAGTAGATTTATGGAATCACCAAGACAGTCTCATTGGCAAGCTGTAAAGAGAATATTGAGATATATTAAAGGAACACTTGATGATGGCATTATTTATTCAGCCACTAACAAAATTGAATTAGTTAGGTATACAGATAGTGATTGGACAGGTAATACAGAAGAAAGAAAAAATACTTCAGATTATGTGTTGAATCTTGGTTCATGAGCATTTTCTTGATCCTCTAAAAAACAACAGGCAGTAGCACTTTCAACAGCATAAACATATTATATAGCAAGTGCAAGTTGCACTGCTAAGCAGTTTGGCTACAAAGGTTGTTTAATGAGTTAGAACATCAATAAGATGGTCCAGTGACAATGTATTGTGATAATCACTCATTTATTGCCTTAACAAAAAATATAGTATTTCATGATCGTAGCAAACATATCGACATCAAATATTATTTCATCTGTGACTTAGTGAAAGATAAAGAGATCGTGATCGAGTACTATGCATCTAAAGATCAAATTGCAGATATTTTCACAAAACCATTTAAAGCAGATATATTTATCAAGTTAAAGAAGATGTTGGGATTAGTTAAATCAAGTTTAAGGGAGGATATTGAATAATTAAACTTGATTTAATTAATGTTGAAAATTAAGACTTCAATTAATTTATAATAAAGAGGCAACGGTGAAGCGGCAACAAAAAAGAGAGGAAATAAATGACAACAATAAAGAATGTGAAGGCAAAATGATAACCTTTCTACTTATATAAATATGTTTAGGCAAAAAAGAATAGACAATGATGTGGAAAAGAAAAATATTTGGGACATGAGGTGAAAAAAAAAAAGAGATTTATTAGCTTCAACAAGTTAATGCATAACGGGTTTAGAGTGTGAAATTTTATCTTGTAAGTATTGTAAAACTTATGTTCTTTCTATTAATATAGTATTAAGTATTTTTTAATTTATAAATTTATTGTCTAAGCAATTATAACAAAATTAAATTGCCAACAATTTCTATAAATAGAGGCTAGCCTTGTAAATGAAACTTTAATCAGCATTATAAGACACGCACTTGGACAAAGAGTACTAGCCTTATAAGAATTATATCCCTAGAAAAGCTATTCTTCAAAAAAGATTTATTGCACCTTATCTTAGTGATTTTGAAATTTTCTTACTATTCAAAAAGACAAAGTGTCTATAGATATCATTTTCAATTTGAATATTGAATTAAACCCCTTATAATCCTATCCTTTACCAAATACAAACTAAAAATTTCAATCTTCCTTAAATCTCTACCCACCTTTCCCTCTCCAGTTCAAGCACCAAGCCAATCCTCACCCTCTTCAAAATCTAAATATTTCTCTCACATGTTTGATCCAATTTTAACCTCTTCTCACTATTGATCATACATCTTAAGTAAATATTTTCCTGTTACTCTTATCAACCATTCAAAATTTGAATATTTTATTCCATACAAACCCAATGAGATCCTTTACCACTCACAAGTCTCAAGTAAAATTCATACTTTTTCCTTCTTCTTACTCTCCTGATTACTCACAAATTAAACCTTCCACAAGAATATAAGAGAATAACTTACGAGTATGGAGAAAGGCCATGTTAGATAAATTACAAGCTTTACTTATCAATTATATCGGATCATAGGTACATTTTCCTTCCATTGGTAACAATGTTAGAATTAATAGATGTTCTAAAATAAAATGTCACCTTGATGGAAACATAGAGAGGTACAAAAGTTAACTTCCTACAAAAAATTTCAATCAATAATTGACGTCTTTATTTCATGCTACCATTAGCTTATAAAGGAGGTTGGCAAGGAATTAACCTCACTTGAATCTCACTTGTATTGTCTCTGTATAATTTATTATTTTATAATTTTTACTATTATTGATTCTTCTATTGTATTATTAAAATTACACTGTTTATTTTCTTATACTTATAAATACATACTACAACATTTATGGATCAAACACATAAATTCTAAAATTCACAAGAGATAATATTTTTCATTTGAAAAAAGTTTAGGTTAGGTTTTTAACCCATTGTTGTTACCACAACTAAGAGAACTTAGCCATCATAAAATATTTCTTTTACCTAAAACCTTAATAGACTCGCTAAAACTTAATTCAATTTAGTCACTACTGCTCCACCAATATACTAATAAATTAAGTTCTCAATTTCACTTAGTTAAGTATTATAGGTTGGTCGCCGCAAACTCATAGATATAAATATTAAGTAATGAGTTTTAAATCATCACTAACATTCAAAACTTAAAACTTTCACATAAAATATAAAGGTCTTAATTATTAAATTATCGTATTGTTAATTTAAGAAATAATATTTTCTGATATATTATTTATAAGCTTATATTTTCTTGATGTACCCATATGATAAATAAATATTAAATTCATTTTGTGTACATTTTATAGAGCTACTATATAAACTGTTGTAAATCTTACACACTAATTAGAAAAATCTCCTATTCCCATATCTTTAAGATCTTACACTCAAAAAAAATATTGGTGTTGGGCATAAAATATTGGTGGGTCGTGATATTGTAAATACCATCATGGTTACATGGAAAAATTGCTATTGCATTTGGCATCTGCTGCATTTTGGGCTCCCACTATCAATTGTGTCACCAATTATTTTTCCCTTTTTAAAATTTTCTTGTGAATGAGAAACTCATATGCATTATTCTATGATAATTTTGAGGTGAAAAAGTGTTCTCGTTGATAGCTTAATATCAATGAATTATCAAATATAATTTATATAGTCATCCGAGTTTGTGTATTTTTTACATTATAATTTACTTGATAAAATATGTAAAATTTTAAATATATATATGAACTAAAATAAATTGCCAATTCAATTTATTAAATATCCCAAATGAGATTTTCATGATAATTTCTACTACACTCTGACTTGAAGTTAGTGCATGTCTCAGCTGCTGCCACACTATCATTTCATTCTTCTGTCACCCTCCACTTCCATAATGTGCTCCATTTTACTTCAAATAAAATATTATTATACCCTTTTTGTTTAATGCGTTCATCACTTTACACTGATTTCCACATCAATGGCGGAAATTCATTGCTTTACAAATATTAAGACGCGTTAAGTTAACCTCTAGCCTCCATAAGAACATGCTCGATTGCTATCAACTTTTTGACTTTGGCTGAGATGATTAATTTGTTCCCTGCCAAACATCCAGAAATATCTATTATATATCTATATATATATATATATATATATATATATCGTGATGCATTTACATGCAGATATAAACTGAGTTACTTACCCACCTAGCTAAAGCTTCACCAAGCAGCAAAAACCTAATTACAATTGGTTATCATTAACAAAGAATATTTGTTCTGAGAATGGCAAGCATTCTCTTTCTTCGTTTACTAGTAATTTTATTGGGTCTATCTCACTTTACAGTCTGCTTAAATGCTGTCCCAGTTACAAGTAACCTTCACTACCCATCTTCTCTTTACTTCCTTTCTTTCTTCTTCGATTCTTTGTTTTTCTAGTCATGGTTTTCTTGTTCTCTTTTTTTTTTTCAGGGATTGGAAGCAAGTTAATGCATGAAGTTCCACCAAAAACCCTCATGCAGGTATTTCTAACAGAGTTGAAAAAGCCAAGTAAATTAAGTCTTCCATGTTATTGAATTTACTTCTATAAATTGTTGGCATGTGCAGGAAAGTTTTGATGTGGAATTACCAGCTAGAATGGATATGGAGCTTAATGATTATCCAGGTTCAGGAGCTAACAACCGGCACACTCCAAGGCCACAATTGGGTAGAGGCTGCGTTGATTGTTAATTAGTGTATACATATATATATATATATATATATGTATGTAATTCTATATATATGCTATATATCTTTATAGTGTATATGCTGCAAAAGACCGCAGAAAAATCAAAAAAAGGTATTGTTTTTATCCTTCATTTCTTAATTAAGCTGGATCTATTTAGTTTTGGTGGAATTGGGTCGAGTAATATTTGTCTTGTGAGGGAAGATGCGATGTTGAAGAGAAGTAATTGTACAAGAGTACTCTTAATTAGTATAATTATTATTAGTTATAAATTTTAATTTATATACTAGCTAGAGCTTTTTAAGTAAGCTGACTATTATTTTTAAGCACCTTGTATCAATAAATTTTCTGATATTACTATATATATTGCTTGTTTACAGATGTATACTCCTCCTAATATATATCAGATTATGTTCAAGGCTCCGTCTTATTTCTAATTATCATCTAGGCATAATATTCCATGAATAGTTTATTTTTAATTATTATTATAATAATTTTTTGTGATATTGGATCATTTAATTCGTTTTCTAATGCTTGCGTCTGGAGTAGAAATTGAAGCTGTTTGGATGTTTTGATTTTGGGATCCTCGTTGTGGATAACAAGAGCTTAAGTGTAGTTTAATTGAATGAAGAACAATTTCGATAATGTCTACTTACAATTTTATAAATATTAGGGTAAATTATACTTTGGGATATAACTGCAACTTAGTCCATTAATTTTAGATAATTATAATTTAGTCTGTGTGAATTGGAAAAAAAAAAACATTATAATTCAGTTCAATTAATTAACAATAGATGCTAAAAACATCATTAGAGCAAGTAAGTCTTATTTGAAATTAAAAAAAAAAAAAATCTTAAAGAGAGCAAAGAATTATGAACTAAATTAAAAAGAG